AGACAAGCAACTAATCATACTTGGACCTTCAAACATAAGTTTGAGCCACGAATGATCATTTTTCCGATTAAGGGACACTTTAGCGCTATGTTAAGCAATCGTAATCGGGTTTATGTAGAAACCACGACTATTTGAGGCCGGTCAATAAAATATTAGTGTTAACACATGTTAGAGAAGTGATATGTAAATCACTTTCCTAAAACATGCCACACAAAAAGAAAAGAGGTAGTGATCTCATCATAATCAAGATTTTTAATTAATTACTCAAAGGTAATCTATCACTATTCCAAAGTACGGAGAATTATCTCAATGATTATTCATCCATAGATTTGAAACAATGAAGATTAAACAACCTTGATAATCAAAAATCTATGATCCATAGATTTTCATTGATCAAAATAAAATAAAATAAAAAGAAGAAGAAAGAGAATTAAAAAGAAACCACAATTTGAATCTTAAATCGATTAAATCATCATCAATATCAATCACCTTTCTTGGTGGATAAAATCGACACCCAAAGTCCATTCATATTGATGAGATCTTATCAAAATTTAAGATCCAAAACAAAAACTATTTTAAGAAATTATTTCAAAAGAAAACAAATATTAGAAAATTATTAAAAGGAAATTGAATAATAAAAAAAATAAAAATAAAAATAGGTTTAAAGTAAATAAAAAATGGTGATGATAGTAAAAAAGGCCTCACGGCCCAAAATATGTTTAAACAAAAAAAACAATAAAACTAAAATCAAAAGAAAAGAAATAAGAATCAGAATAGCTTCATCATCTTCTTTTAGCTCTCACGCGGCACTGCTCACGGCCATGGGAGCTTCAACGCTTATTCAAATCAAAGCGGCGGGATGCGAAACCAGCACGGTTGTGATCGGAATTAAGAGCTCTTCACAACAGTACCAACAATTTAAAGAAACACAACAAAAAGTAACGGATCGGAAATGACGGTGAAGCTCAAACTACCTTCAAACTAAGGAGCAAAAATCAATCCAAACTTCTTCTTGCTTCTCTTCTTCTTCTGAATGAATTGTAGTTCAAAATTGGTCTCTGTTTGAGGTTAATTTGGAAGAAAAAAGTAGTAGAGTGAATATAGTATGAAATGGTTTTGATGAACGAAGAAAGTATGAGAGGTGAAGAGGATTGAAGCTTGAAGAAAATTAGAGGTTGGGGTGATATTTCTGCAGAAGTTTTCTGGCTTTTCAAGCTTGAAGAAATGAATGAGGTATGTGTGGTATTTATAGATTGAGAGTGAGGGAGAGTGATTTGCCGTTTTGCAATTTTCTGTGCGTTTTGGTTGTTGCAAGTTGTGCGTGACTTGTTGTGATATTTTTCATGTCGTTTTGCTTTTCTATTCCAGCTTACGTGTGTAGTCACTTTTTGCAATTGGCTCATGGCTTAGAAACAACTTTAAAAGCTTGTGGGGTCAACTTGGAGTGTAACAGCTGGAATTATATTAACATGGCTTGGAAATATGGCTTAATATGAAGCTTCTCATGGGTACGTTTTGACTTGCTTGAATAAGTATCTCCAGTTGTAATATTACCCTGTTTTTTTCAAATGATTTGGAGACTGCATTTGTATGCAGAAACTGAAAGGCATCACTCTTATATCATCAACTCTAAACAACCTCTCTAGAGCCACTTGATCAGGATAACACACCAAAGTAAATTCCTCTGTCAATTCCAGAAGATCCTGCATAACAGTATCAATATGCAAGACAGCAGCCTTGAGGGAGTAATTTAACGGCCGAACTAAAATACCAACCCATTGATGTTCATTCATTAACAAAGCAGATGAAACAGTAGCATCAAGATCCACAAGTGCTCTAGGTTTGGAAACCTTCAAAATAGATTTAGCTGGCTCTTCATAACTCATAACATCATCATTCTCTGCAGGACCAAGTTTTGAAACACCATGAGATCTAAACCTCAACTGCCCAATCTGCCCAGTAAGAACTCCAAGAACATATGATCCTGGTTTCTGAGGTGGTAGATCCAAGGTAATAGTATTCCGACCAGGGTGTAACACAATAGTTGTAGAACACTTCAATGCCTTTACACCTTCATCAGCATTATATGTTGCCATTAATGTAAGACTGATTGAATCAAGAGTTATATCATCTGGAAAACCACTACAGACAGTTACTGAAAGGATACCAGGATCCCTGTCGCATAACTCTAATGGAGGTCCAGGATTTCCAGAAAATGTAATTAAGGATAATACATCAAGAGGTACAGGGTCTTTCATTTCACTATGAGCAAGACGAATCAATTCTGCTTGAAAAGCTTGATGCTCCTTCGTCAAAAATAATCCATCTTCAGGAGAAAGTAGCCGCACACATGATAGCAAGTAGCCAGCTTGATCATTAAGAATATTTTGACACTCTGCTAGAATGGGAAGGACCTCGGCCAACAAGTCCTGCCATCCTTCCCCATTATACGGTGCACAAACCTTCTCACATGACTTTGCAGCTTGGTCAAAATGGCCATGGTTAAAGGCAACAGCAGCTATCTCACCATCAAGGACAACTCCATGTCTTTTCCACCAGGAACGGTGGTAATTGTCAGCAGCACCTTTAGTTAGCTCTATATATTTTTTCTCAAACTCCTCGGATGATGATAATGATTTTAACATCCCAAGATTAAAAATTGTTTGCTTCAAAGCATGTTCGGCAGCAATATAAATCTCAGCAAGCCTCATAGGTCGGGCAATTGAGCTATCAAAGTTTCCCGGAGAAGAATTAGTGCGTGTCATCGAATTCGAGAGTACTTTTTGTGGTGACATCTTGGGGGATGAATCAAAACCTGATCCTTCCATTGGACCCTGGAGACTGTCAAACATTTCAAACACATTTCCAGCGGAAAGTGAAGCCTTCCACCTGTTAGCCTCTCGTAGTAGCACAGTTGGTTCAAGGGGCAGTGGTTTCCTCTGAATACCAAAGTGCTTGGTTCTAGGAGTCGTTTGGAGAATCAACTTTTCTTTCTCAAGCACCTCTGCTGATGCATCAGTAGGGACTGAAAGCCAAACAGCTGGCTTAGGCCAAGGTAGCAAGCTGAGGGAAGCACTGTTGACAGGACTTCTTTCTATATCAGTACCATACCTAATTAAATATGCTAGCCTCATGAACTTAACTCTGGCTAAAGAATATAGGTCACCAAGAAGACAAAAGAACTCCTTCTCTGCGTCAGGTGCCACAAGTCCATCACTATAGTTGGAAGTGGTTGCTTCAATTAAAGCCAAGCAAGCAGTTATCACCCAGACTTCACGCATACAAAAAGGAAGAATACGCTCCTTCAATGCCAAGGATTTTGAGAAGCTTAATATGAACGAATAACCTCGTGATGCTACCTCAATAGGTCGATTAAGCTTGAATAAGAGCTTTGATTGACAGGCAAACAAATATTGTCTAAATTCAAACTCTCTAAACGAATCCTCTTGGACAATCTGCATCAATGTTTTGTTTCCTAGATTAACAATCGTGGCCTGATCATCACCATGGTCTGCCCCACCAAAGTCTCTTTTCTTTCCAGTCATGTTAACTGTTTCAAGATAGCAGAGTTCTAGTTCATCATATTCCCTTAAGGTAAAACGGAACTCCAAAGATATGAACTCCTCCGCAGATTCTAAGGAGCAATTTATCTGGTTATTTACGCAGAAAAGTTCAACCTGCTCCCTTGAGAAGTTGCCAACACGGCCTCCCTCACTAAGTGTCCTAACACCCACAATCACAGTTCCTCTTAAATCAAAACTCTCAGCTGCTCGTCCGCCACTAACAATCAGCCGCATCACGCCGCTTTGTGTTTCACTTTTAGATATCTTATAGTTGATGGGAACTCCATTTGCAAGGTTTAAGTCGGCATCCTCGGGATTGTTCTGCCTATCACGCGTGCCTTCAAAAGTTTAGTATTTGTCTTCCGTGGCGTCAGCATGACATGGTTTGGCACATAAGAATTGTAAACTACAACTTATAGCTTTAAACTATAATGCGGATGCGTGGCGGCCTAGCAGCAAGAGCTTGAATCAACGAAGTCTGCTGGCTTCCTACCTTTAAATCTCATTTTGAAGCAACATTTCACAGTCTATTAAACATGGATCATCAAAGTCTCGATTGAAAATTCAACTAGAATCATTGTAATTGTCCATTGAAATAACAACAATGTCGGCATGAAATTGAATATCTTATCAGCTAACGCAATCTTTCCAGCCCCGAAGGATCCCAAACTTCCAACAACTTTAATTGATTTCTCAGGGAACATAATTTTGTCACTCGAAGACGCAATTATTTCATTGCTGCTTCCAATAACCTGATGACGGCATAGACTGGATTGTCGAAATAGCAGTAGCAGTAATAAGACTGATTCTTCTAGACGTCCGATAAGTAACACCAAGCAGTGCCCCTCCAGATTTTCAAACGGTGCATTACATAGCAGTTGAAGCCTGCAAGAATATTCAGTTGGGGCTCCGCAGTTTTCATGCTTCTCCATGATAAACTCGGGACGAAGAATTGAATATCTGTCACTAGATAGCTGAAAGCAGTAGAAGTGGACAAGACCTACAGCAGAATTTAAGCTAACTACTGCACCAGTGGATTTCACCTGGTAAATTGTTTCTGGATGGGTATCTACAGAAATCAACCTTGAAGTGTCTTTCAGATGACTAAGGTCTGTTCTCTCTATTGCTTCTCTCTGCAAAGTCTCCTCACTGTTCCTGGCATTCCTTAGGAATGCTTCATGCGACAAATTTCCCCTCTCAGCCATTAGGATGTAATCAGACCCGGGCTTTCTAGTACGGGCCCTAGACTGAATGTATGCCAAAACTTTCTTTGCGAGATCAAAGCGAATAACAACATTACATTGCCGGATATCAAGTCCTTCTTCAGCAACACTAGTGGCAACTAACAGTGTGACCCGCCCATCACGGAACTTAGCAATTGTATCATGCATTTGATGGGTTTTGTGGTAAGATTTCCTTCAAAAGTTTTATGAATTGTCACCCTGTACACATTGGTGTCATCAACAAACCAAATGATTTGGTTGCTGAATATCTCTCCATAGTTTGAGAGGACAAGTATGGTTCAGTGGGCTCAGAAGAGTACAACTGCAAACCTTTCCTGATTCGCTCCCTCAAAACATACAAAGCAGGATTTGACTTCATAATCTTATTCATGGCCTGCTGAAGTAGTGGTTTTGATCCAGGGAACCAGCTCCCAAATGCAGAATGCAAGTTATATGCCAAGTCAAGGCCAATCATAACCCCTGTTGGAGATGGATATATAGACATATTATCTGTTGTGTAATCCATAAATTTAGCCCTGGTGTAACGCTCAATATCGTGAGAATCATAATCACCCCACTGAAATTGAACATCAATCCAATACTTATTGTTAGCCTTCTGATCAAAAACATCCTTGGATTCAACTACAAGACAAATTGATTTTGGCCATCTGTGTGGGCCAATTCTCTCAACAGAGTTAATAGATCAACCGCCTCGAGTTTTAAGAATCCTCATTCCGATGTAGAACATCAACGAATCATGGTTGGATTGATAATTTCTGAAACCGACAACTGTTCTTGAAAATCCCACACCCTGATAAAAATGAACACAACTATTCATGTACCAGGACATTACTTGCACCTTCAATTTTGATCTTTGACATAATTCTCTGGATTTCTGGACCAAACGCTGCTTGTTAAACCAATGAATTTCAACACAAGACAAATTGACCGTGAACAATCACATTTGCTGAGAAAATATCCTACCACCACGGGTAACTTATAGTTGAAGCAAACTCTTGATAGTTTGACCAAGATGAGGTCAAACGTCCATCTGATTTAAACTTGAATGAATGTCTTTGCCATCAATCTCCCTGCAAAACCCTAAACACACAGAGAAGAAGAAGAAACAAGCAAATTGCAAAATATTTTTGGTATTTTGGTTAGAGGTTAGTAAATAGAAACAAACATAAAGTAAATAAGAAACACAAGGGTGAGAGAACCAAAAAGTATGATCTTGTTTGTGTATGTAATGATGCAAATGAAATGTGGGATCTTAGGGGTAAAAATTAGGGTATTACAGCTGCCCCTATTTAAGATTCTTCTATCCGGAGATATGAAGATTGACATCTTTGTCTCGACCAGATAGAAGAGACTTAAATATAACAATTAACCCAATTTTTGGCCCTAAGAGACCACAAAATGATATGGTTATGCTAATGGTATGCAAACACAAGACCTCTGTGGGGAGAAAATGCCACAGGAGACAAACAAAAGTTCGGGAACAAAAGAAGAAAAGAGACTCCACAAGGGAAAACAAAAGAGCAAGATCCTATTCTGATAAAGGAAAGGAAACGACTCAACAGGGAAAGAGATACCAACTGCCAGTTACTGGGCGAATATATTCGATCCAAAGAGAACAGGTAAAATGCTTCTACTGGTTACTGAGTAGAAAATAAGCGTAATAAACCAAAGGGGTGAGAATATTACCGACTACCAATCAATAGATAGAACAATAAAGGCAATATACTCAAAAGGTGAAGAAACATTACCGAATACCCAGTACTAGGTAGAAAAATTTGGGTAACGAACTCACAAGGAAAGATTACCGACTACTGATTACTGGGTAGAAAAATATGTCGATAACTGACCAAAAAGGATGAGCAAAATACTCAAAAGGGTGAAGAAACATTACCGGATACCCAGTACTAGGTAGAAAATTTTGGGTAATGAACTCACAAGGAAAGATTACCGACTACCGATTACTGGGTAGAAATATATGTCGATAACTGACCAAAAGGAGGAGACAAATGCTACCTACTACCTATCACTAGGCAGAAAATAAAGGCAACAAGCTCGGGAGGAAGGATTATCTTTTACCGGTCAAATGGGTAAAGCATAACCAACCAAAAGGGGTGAGAAATATTACCAGTCAATAGAGGTAACATACTCGAAAGGTGAAGAAACATTACCGGATACCCAGTACTAGGTAGAAAAATTTAGGTAATTAACTCACAAGAAATACCTACTACCAGTCAATGGGCAGCTCAAATCACACAACAAACTTCTCAAATAAAGAGACAACCATTTGTTGGGGTGAGGTTTATCTTGTTGGAGACATACAAGTTGCTCAAATAAAGAGACTGTCACATGAAGTCGCACAAGCAATCACCAAGAGAGTGTTATCAAAACACCGTTGGGGAAATCAAATCTTCATTTTCTGATGGGAATCAATAACAGATTCCTTCCGAGGAAAGTAAATCCTTAAAAATACCTTCTCATCATCCAGGTTTCACAGCCCAGGGAAATCCAAAATAACCGCTACAAGAGACCAAAGTTCAATCCAGGAACAAACTGAAGAGAAACGGTCAAACAAGACTCGACCCAATGAGGAAATAACTCAACTGGGGAACAATTCCATCCAGATAAAAGCTGGGGCGGAAAGCTAAACAAACATCTTCCACGAGGCATAAACTCAGTGGGGAATTAGAAAGGATAGGTATTTTCTGCTTAAGGGTCGACACTCTAATGGAGAGAGGACACACGCACTCCGCAGGGATAACAACACCGGGAAAAGGGAAACACCAACAAAAAAATGCAGGATGCACAATGCAACAAAAACATGCTATGCTCAACCAAAATGAATGCGCATGCAATGCATATGAGTATGAATATGCTGACAAAACAGACAAAAAGGGCAAACAGAGGGTGAACAAAACATCACAACACCACTGAAATACTCGGCTAATCTTCGCAAGTTAGAGATATCATTGGAGATCGTGCTGGGGATCAGCAACAGAAAATATGCAAGAGATACACAAGAGCCATCAAAGGAAAATAAATCCTACTATAAGGCTCAAACCTCGCTGAGGAAATGGAGATACCGCTTGGGGAGGAGACCCCAAAGATCAATCTTCGACCATCAATAATTCAACAATATGAACTCCGCTTTGAGGAAAAAACTGTTGGAGAAAACAAAGCAACACAAATTTTCCAACTCTGCCTGGGGAATAAGAAGTTAACATCATAGCAAAAAGTCAAACTGTGGGGGATTTTAAATCAACACCCAATCACAAGGTGAGAGAAAACCCGACAGGTCACTGCTATGTCAACACTTCTTAGAAGTAAGCAACATTGTTCTCTACTTGTGGAATAATCCAAAGTAAATATGCATAACCTCTGCTAGGAATCATTAAAGACAAGTCTCCGCATGGGCAATAACATCAAGGAGAGGTGGTCCTCAAACTACTCAACTGTCTGATCATAACCCGGCTGGATGAAGGAAACATACTCATCTGGAGAAGATTTTGAATCAAGACTTAGTTGGGAAAACCGAATAATATCCATCTGGTTATCCATAGGAACAAAACTCTGCTAAGGGAATATCAGCAAACCCTACTAGAGAAACCTTAACACAACTCTACTGGGGAACTGCCAATAAATTCTACCAGAGGAGCAAGAACTAACTCTGTTGAGGAAAATAAGAACCTGATGAGGGTCATATCCTATCTTTCACAACCATTTGTAATAAATGCACATCCTTTGCACGAGATCGGCAAGGATAATTCTCTGGGTACTAACAACCTTGAGAGAAAAAACTTGGAATTGTGGGGATAATTAAGAAGTTAACATCAAAAAGTCAACCTGCAGGGGATTTTAAAGCTCAACACAGGGTGAGAGAAAACCCAACAGTTGACTGCTATATCAACACTTCTTAGAAAGGAAATGTGATTCAAATTGGCCATAAGAGAAACAAACCATAACGGAGGAGGTAGAAATCTGCCAGGGATTCCTCATCATGTTTTATCACAGAACATGATGGGATCCAACAATCACATTCACACTTAAATATGCATGATCATAAATAGGTTAGGGAAGGAGAACCATGCTCAAATTGAAGAAATCTGAATCAAGACTTTGCAGGGGGAATCCAAGTTAAAAATGCTTGAACTAGTGCCCAACTGAGAAATGCATCAATAAGACCAAACTTTGCTTGAGAGATTGTCAACAGACTGTATCGAGGAGAACATCAACAAGGACAAACTCTAATTGGGAGAATATCAAGTTCATAATATCTTGAAATAATCTTCCCCAATATCTTCAAACTCTGAGAGATTCGTCGAATCTCGACATAACTTCCCCAGATTAACTGTAGTCGGCGTATTCTTTTACTGATGGAGTATTCAAGCTTTGCCCCTGCGAAAGCATCAACTGGGAAAACAAACTTTCTCAAGCTCAACGAAGTCTTCAAGAAACATGCCCCTGGATATGATCATTCCTTGAAACGATTTGCCAATTACTCATCAGATTTTAAGGCTTCAAAAGATTATGTTCATCACTGATACGCATATGTAAGCTTCCATGATGTCAAATAATGTATGTAAGCAGAAAAATGCTTAATTCTGAGAATGATAATTTTAATGCAATTACATATATTTATCTTGAAGTTTTTTTTACTGAAAACATGTCACAAAAAACTTGTGAACGAATCACTAGTTAAGATGTGACATTGATTTTTGAATGCACATGCAATACCAACAAAGGTCTTTTAGCACAACTCATGGGAGTCAGGAACGCTATCTCGTTAAAGTATGCTTTCAAAATAAACCCTGCTTCAATTAGGTCTTTCGAGGGTTATAGTGTGGTCTGGTTCACGGTTTTTAGAAAAAAAGATATTTAGGCTCAAAGTTTATTTGTACCCACCCATTCTCCGTGATGTTCTTCAGTCCTACATTCAGCTAATTTGACACAACTATTCATCCCTCAAAGGATTTTGTGATGGTTGAGGAACTGATGAAAAAATGATGGTTTAAGAGCCAATAAGGCTTTTCAAGGAATAGCAGTCACCCCCCTTTTTTCTTTTGTAGTCGCATAGATTTGTTCAGGATTTTTCATTGTAATCCCTTCTTTTCGCTTTTCGCTTTTTTTTTAAAATTTAATTTTTTCCTGGACCAATTCTTTTGAATTTTTGATGTCCAGCGGGATGCCCTAATTTTTGCCTAAGTCACTTGTTTTCAAGTTGTACGACTTAGCGGGCTTTTTATTTTTTTCTTTTTTGTTGTTGAACAAATCATGTGACATTGACTTATCTGTCTTGTTAAAAGGGTTGTGGCCGTCTCTTTCCTTTGGAATGAGGATAACCATCGTGGTTGGTCCTTAAATACACACTCTTTTTGGAAATTTGAACACTTGGTCAATTTAACTGAAGACTACCCTGCCCCAGGTTAAAATGTGAGGTTTTTTCCATTTAAAAAGGAAACTCCTACTTCGAGGCTCAAAAGGGTTTACAAGGGATTATCTTCCTTATAT